CCTGGGATCGAGTCCCGCATCCGGCTCTCTGCTCAGCAGGGAGCCTGCCTCCTCCTGTCTCTCTCTGCCTGCCTCTCTGCCTACTTGTGATCTGTCAAATTAAAAAAAAAAAAAAAGAAAGAAAGAAAAGAAAAGTGAGGCCCAGAGAGGCAAAGTGACTTGTCTGAGCACACACAGCTAGTGAGAGTGCAGGAGCCCAGGGTTCAGGGGCAACTCCTAAGGCCCTGCAAAGGTTGCCAGACTGACTCTCTGCACCCGGATTTGCTGGCTTCAGGTTGTTCTTCCCTAGACACATCAAGTACTTAGCTCAGCACTTGAGGCCCAGCGCACTCTCTTAGTTTTTCTCCCTTTACCTCTTCCCTATTATAAGCTCCCCCTGACTTTCCTGGTCATGTCCTCAAATCTCAAAGTCCCTCTGCCAACAACATCATCATTTACTCCACATGGGGCAGATTCACCCAGTCCTCAAGCCCAAGAGCAAAAGCTCCCTCTGTCAGGAAGCCCTCCATGACCAGCTGCAGTTTTTCCCTCCTCCAGCCCTTCCTCTGGCTCTGACCAAAATTCGAGTTAGCTGCAGGCTCCTCTTCCTCCTCATGGAGCCTGTGGGCCATCTGAAGGCAGGGTGCCCTTGCCCAGCTCAATGCCTGATCCCGAGTGGACCCAGGAGGTGGAGGAGGGGGTAGCTGGAGCCCCAGGCTCACTCCTTCATCGGCTGCTCACTGGCCATGTTGCCTTCCGCACTCCCACTTCTGGCCACCAACAGACTTCTTGCTTGTGCTCCTTCCTGACTCTGTGACCTTGGGCAGGGAAGTTAACCTCCCTGTGCTTGTTTCCTTCCCAGTAAAATGTAGTAACAGCACCTGCATTTCTTAAGGCGAGGACATACATCCCAGGAGGTACAGGTGACCTCCAACCCAGGAAGGCTCACCGCTATTATTTCTGTCTACATCTCATCCGGGGACCAGCACATGAATTTGGGGGGCAGAGAGACCTGCAGTTCCAACCACTTATTGCATATATGACTCTGAGCTGGTGGCTCATTCCTCTAAGCCTCTATTTCCCCATCTCTGAAATGGTACTAACTCCACCCACAGGAGCAACCGCGATCTCCGAACCTCTCTTTTGTTCGAGGCACGCAGGAGGCACTCCGGTATTTCTCAACTAACGAATCAGTGGTCCAGGTGTAAGGAATCCATCCCCCTACCAGCCTCCTCCTCCGCCCACCCTAGCCTCCAGAATTCCCTTCCCAACCCCCAGCCCGTGCAGACTAAAATAGTCATTAGGCAAATTTCAAAAGATGTCAGTAGCTTATAATTATAGTCGACATCCTTCTGAGATAAAAGTGATTACCTTGGATGCAAATCACTTAGCAACCAATCAGGGCGGTGGGCGGCGCCCGCGTAGGTGACCGGCCCCGCGCAGCCCACCGCCCGCAGTCCGCCGGGCACAGGAGTAGAAAGCGCACAATAGCTCTTGACACGCAAATGGGTTAACACAATAAAGGCGGCTCCGGCCGCTGCTGGGTGGGGGGGGGGGAGGAGAGCAGCAATTCCCCGCCCGCGGGAGGTAATAAAGCGGCCCTTTTGTGCGCGCCTCCTCGTTCTCACCCCCGCCCCGAGCCCAGAGGAATCGCCGCCTGATTGAATTACGGTTCATGAATATGAGCTGCTCCTATTGCCTCCTCCGGTTTGTGAAGGACTAGAAGGTGGAGGGGGCCGGGAGAGGTTTTGGGGGGCGGCGGGAGGGCGCTGGCCAGGGCCCAGCCCTGTAGGAACTCAGGTAGGAGGGAGCCACGTGTGCTCACCACGTGGGGTGCCCTGGGTAGGTGGGTGGGAGATCAAGTGGAGGGTGGCTGGAAGGGTCCCTGCCTACCCTGCAGTCTTTGATCTTTGGCTCCAGGAGGGACTGGGCTGAGCCATTCGAGGCACTGTTCTGAGGATGAGACTCAGAGAGGCAAAGCTGCTCACCCAAGGTCACACAGCCAACAAGGGTGGACCCATTCCATCGCGTGGCTCTTAACCATGAGCCACTGCCCACCAATGGGGTTTAAGCAACCCAGCCCAGACCCTGGCCAGAACAACTGTGAGGCTCAGAAGAGAGAGGGGATGGGGGAGCTTACGAGCTTAGGTGGAATTAGACAAGTGAGATAAGGATTACTGGGGTGAGTGGGAGCTAACCTTGAAAGAGGAGACTGGTCAGGGTTACCATCCCTGTTAAAGAGCCCTAACTGGATCCTGTCCCCTGCTTCAATCTCTCCCATCCTACCTAAGTCTCCAGGGTCCCTGCTTCCCCTCATCCAGCACACCCAGCACTCATAGGCCACACCCAATGCCCAGTACACGCTCTGCACTCCTCTGTCTGGTGGATCCCGGTTGGTCCCAAGAGTCCCAGTGCACCCCCCGCCCCCAGAGGGCCCTTGCCAACCTTCAGACTGGTCAGGAGCCACATCTACCAATGTTGCCGTTGACCCATCGACATCCTTGACTTCTCTACCAGCAGAGTGCGTACCTGGAGGGTCCCTGAGGTGACAGAGTGCAGCCTCAACCCTCCTGGTGGGGAGCTAGAAGGGGCATCTCTCTCAATGCCTTCCCCCCCTCAGGGCGCTGGCCCACCTTACTTCCCCCAGTGCAGGAGAAAGGGGATGCCAGGGGTGAGGAGAGCAGGCTGTCTGCAAGGCCAGCAGACAAGTTACTACTCAGCTCGAGAGTATCCTGTAAGCAAGGATTCAAACTCAGGTTTCAGTGTGGGAAGGCCTCTTGGTGAGGCCAGACTCCTTCTATAGCCGACAGCCCCCCACTCTTGTGGGGACCCTGTCCAACAAATGGTGTAAGGCTTCCTCTCCCCCTGGGGAAGGGTGGGAAGACCTGGGGACTTCGGTGCTGGTGCCAAGGCACCTCAGAGCTGCGGGGCTGCACACCTGAGACTGTTTCCTCATCTGTAAAATGGGCCACCACGCGTGAGCCACTCTGAGCGGTAACTGAGCTCCCCCTGTGCAGTGCCTGGCAAGCGAGGAGACGCCGGGTAAGCTGGCATCCCCTCCTGCTCGTCGCCGGGTACTATTGCCAAGCCCAGGGAAGGGAACAGAAGGAATTGCCCAATTCTGACAGCCTTTCCCTCCGCTTTGGCTACGGAAGTGTAAATACTCCGAGGAGGACCTCCAACCGCCTGTGTTTGTGGAGCTCTGGCGCACACTCCGGGTTTGTTTCTAAACTGGGAAGCTTCGAGAGGCAGCGCAAACAGCCCTTCTGCCCACCTCTCCCACTTCTCCCCCCGCCCCCATCTGCTGTTGCTCTGTCCTTGGAAGCCTGTGTGTTTAACGACACCATTTCAGCTGGAAATATCATCTCCCTGCCAAGCCCCCCAAAGCAGCTCCACTGATATTTATTGACCTGTTAATCTAGCTAGAGAGCCTGGGAGTAGAAGAGAAAAAATGCTAGCTGCATCCAGACTGGGGCCTGGCTCTCATAATGACCCCACACACACTTCCCTCTGCTCTCACCCCGCCCCACAACGAAACAGTGCCACGGTTCTCTAACCTTTACCTCCAAATGCGATCACACCACTTTCACCCACATCCGACAATAATAGCAATTGCTGGAAGGAACTCAAGACGAATCAAAGAACCCAGCAGCAGGATACTGGCTGGGGGTTCTCTGGGCCTTCACAAGGAACAGGGCCAGGGCTGGGGCATTGTGGGGGGTGGGGGAGTGTGCGGCAGAGAGGGCCGGTGCCTGACTCCCATCAAAGCTGGCCCCTGGCAGGGACACACTTTTTCCAGACCTTGGCACTGACGGGACTGACTTGCCCTCCATTCACTTAATAAGCACCATACTGTGCTTGTCAAAATCATCTTAAACAGCAAAAGGAGAGCGGGAAGACAGGAGTCCAGGCTTGGCCAAGGCCCTTCACCTTGGGGTTGTGCAGCAGGGGAAAACCCTGGACTTGAGGGGTAGCAGGCAGCAGCTCCTCTGCACCTTCCCCGCACCTTTTTCCTGAGCGGAAGTGGCCTCTTTTAAGGGGGGGCGGGGCACATCTCTCTAGGGACCCTGGGAACTTCAGCCGCTGGCTGGGTGTATAGTGGGGTTCGAGGAAATCTCCGTAGCATCCCTTTTGAAAGCACAAAGTTGCTCTGTTTGGCAGTCCTGAGCCCCCAGGCAGTGCCAGGCTATATGGGCAAAACTGAACACCTGTCCTCGGAGGGAGGAGCATCAGCAGAGACAGCTGGCACTGCTTCCCTCCCCCACCTCATGAAAAGCTGGGGATTTAGGTCAGAGGACTGCAGTTGAGGCTGGGGGCGGGGGTAGGATCTGCCTTCACCCCTCCCTTACCCAAAGGCATCCAGTCTGCCCCTGGTTACCATGACCCCGCCCCCTCCGACCCTGGGTCAATGCAAGTCCTGTCGCCACGGCAACCCCAGTGACGTCAGATGCCTGGCAGTGACGTCAGGCTGTGGCCCCACTGGGAAATCCACCATCCCTGTGAGATTTTTGTTGGAATGAGGGCTGTATGGGAGACCCTGCTATGATCTAGCATTGGAGGGCACAATCCTCAAACGCAACCACCTGCATGGGTGGGACTCCACAACCACCGCTAAGCGGATGTCCCCTGAGGACCTCAGAGGCTGCTCGGGAGCACCCCAAGGGTTCCATCCTGGGTGCCCTCCTCCTTGGCCCTCCAAGACGCGGGAGTTCCCTGGGAATTTTCGCAAGATGGAGCTACTACCTTTGTCTGTTGGCTTTAGGGGTGGGGTGACCTTTCCTCTCTGGCATACGCCTCACCCGAGGCTCTGTGGAGTCCCCCAACGGGCTCCCAAGCTCCATGCCGGCCGCTTGGCCGGTCTAGACAAGTTGTGTGTGAGCGGGAAAGGGCTGGGGGGAGAGAAGGAGCATCTCTGCTTCAGGATTCCCAACAGCTCAGGGCCCCTTTATTTCCAATCCGGCCGCCCCGACGCCAGGGAGTGCCCCCGGCTCCAGCCCGGAACCCCGCCCCGCGGAACTCACCAGATCAGCCAGGCCGTTGAAGGGCACCAGGTCTCAGCGGCGATGACTCTTCGCTCGCCGGGTCGCAGCCATGCAGAGGCGGCAGAGGCTGCCTGAGACCGACCCCCTTGGGGGCCGATACCTTTCTCCGGGTGCAAAGGGACGCTGTCCGTGAGGGTGATCCAGGCACCGACTCGCGCCGTCCGAAGTCGGGGGTGGCGGGTCTCTCCGCTCAGCGTGGGTCGTACCCGCCCAGGACCTGGGCCGTTCCGGCGCTCAGGTGGCGCATCCTCTCCGGGGCCTGTGCTCACCACGTCCGGCGGGCGGCGCTGCGCCTCCCCTCGGGGTCCCGCTCAGGGCTGCAGCTCTGCCCGCGCCGCTCCCCGGGGCGCCCTCTCCGCTCGCGCCAGGAGCCCGGTGGCCACGGCCCCTCTCGCCGGCCCCAGCTGCAGCCTGTCTTTGTTGCTTCCTCTCGCTCGACCGCCCGCCTGAGGCTCGCAGCCCCCCGGTCCGCCTGGGGGTGTGAGGGGGGTCGTCTCCTCCAGGGTTACACGCACCTGCAGCGGCCCCGGTTCCTCACCGGGCAATGCACCGGCCCCCGCAGGTTGCAAAGAGCGGCGACGAGAACGTACTGGCCCCTCCTCCTCCTACTCCGAGCCCTGGGTGTGGGGGGAGGGGAAGCTGGAGAGTGGCGGCTGCGGCGGCAGCAGCGGGCGGCGGAGGCTCGGATGGCAGCCCGGGGGGCCTCGGCGCCGCGAAATAACCGGTCCGGGTGGCGCAGCGCGGACGTAGGAATGGCCCAGAGCACGGTACACCTGGCGTGCGAGCTCGCGAGCTGCAGCAGGGGCGGCGCGCGCCGGGCTCTCACGCGCCCGGCTCTCACGCGCCCATGGCCCCTGGCGGCGCGCAGGGGCTCCCCGGGCTCAGCCTCGCGCCGCCTGATGCGCGCCGGCGCCTCGCCTCGTCTCAGGCCCAGGTGCCGCACGCCGCGTCCCGCAGATAGCGGGCTCGGCTCTTCACCTCCCTCGGCTGGAGTACGCAGGCTCTTCGCAGAGCCGCCGGCTCAGCAGTGCCGCCCGTTGCTCCGCTCCGGCCCGACTGACAGGCGCGAGCGCCCGCAGCGGCCGCGGCGTCTCTCCCCCCGCCCGCCCCCTGAGGTCCGGCCCAATCAGCGGCGGCCGAGAGGCGGTTACCAGGGTGACGCGGCGCCGCGTCCTGCGGGGGGCGGGGCCGGGGGCCGCCACGCGCGCTTTTCGCGGCAAAATTCAAAGGCCGGCAGGGCGGCTCTCCAACCTCCTCCCCCAGGCTGGGGCGAGGCGGGACCTTCCTCTCCAGGACTGCAACTCCCGGCATGCGGTGCGCAGACGCCGGGCGGAGGGGCCCCGACTTGGGGCGCGGAGCATGCTGGTATTTGTATTCCCTTTGTCGGGACCCCGAGTTGGAAAAACCGGTATCTTTTATTGAGCACATATTTGAGACAAGACACTCTGCTAAGAGCATTATCTGCATTGTTTCTTTTAATTTTGAAAACAATCCTATGAGGAATTTGTTAAAGATAATAAACTAGAACTTATGTAACAAAGTACTCTAATGTTCACAACAAGCTGGTAAGATAGGTATTATCACCCCTATTTTACAGATGAGAAAACCGATATGGTAGGTACTATTCTCCCAGCTTATAGAGGAAATTGAGGCTAAGATATATGAAGTGACACTCTGTCCGGAGTGCTTTGCCCCAAGGCATATTTTTGGCGTTGGATGATTTTTGGCATCACAGTTGAGATCATGGACCACGAACTATATACCCCTGCACTGTGCTGAGCTCTTTACAAAGTCCACCGCATGGTACCCACACCACAGATATGGACGGCAGGTCCTGGTATTCTCCTCCACTTAACAAACAGGGAAATTGAGGCACAGTATCACCTGGTACCCAAATTTTGACTCCATCAAACTGTATTGCACCTTGCCTTTTACTTTCTTTTCTTCTTCTTTTTTTTTTTTTTCCGCCTTTTACTTTCTAAGCAGCTTCATAGGTTCTCAATAGGTCTGTCTGACAGCCCATGGGTGGCCTGTTTAGCAGTCCCATTTTATAGCTGGAGAAACTGAGTCCTGGGAGGGACAGTTCCCTCAGTTGCCATGTGTCCATTCCACAGCAAGTTGGGGAGCCAGCTTTCCAGGAGAGACTTTAGGATCCCTACAGAAATGCAAAGCCGCAGCCAGAACTCCTCTGAGCACTGTCAGGCTATGTCCGTGTGACCCCGTGGAATCCCATGGAACTTGGGTGGGATTCCATCCTTGTCCTTGCTGGCTGTTGGCTTCGGACATGTACCTTCATGGCTTTGTGCCTCGTCTCGTGTCTGTGTATCATAATGCCTATCAGAGGGGGTTGTTGTGTGGACAAAAAGTTTTGCTGGAAAGGATTCAGAACACAGTAAGTGCACAATAAATGCCAACTGTAGTCATCTAGACCTGGAAGGCTTTGAAGACCCTTGTGAGTGTGCCCAGTGAGATGGGCTGCTTATACCGGCTGGTGGGGACGGGGTGGGGGCGGGTTGGCTAGCCTACTTTTAGGCCAGCCAACCTGCCCCTATCCCCAGCCTGAGAGGTGCCCGTGGGGGAGCTCCAGGGCCAACCAAGTAGGCCACCCCCTGTCTTATCTAGGGCAGGAGCTGGCCCTGTTTCAGGCCCTCGAGCGGCTGCCACGAGTGCCATTCCCAGCAGCTCCTGGCTTCAGGGCACTGCTCTAGTTCTCCTGGGCTGTCCCACCCAACCGTCTTGGAGTTGGAGTCGGAGTGGGGATTTACCTGTGAACTTGATCCAATCCCCAGCTGCTTCCTCTCTCTCGGCTCCAGGGGCCAGCTGCCAGACCTGTTAGTGACGTCAGGGCAGGTTGCCAGGGCAATGCACTGGGTGGATCCAGGGTGTGGACAGGTGGAGAGAATTTGGGGCAGGACTCAAGCCAGGTGCAGGGACAACAATGGTAACAACCAAAACCCTGTGAAGAAAGGGCGGGAAGTGGAGAAGACTGTGGGGCCACACCATCCTTTTTCCTAAGTTTGGGCTTTTTTCCATCATAAGTTGACTTGACACCTACTATGTGCAGGGTACATGCTCAGTGCTGTTTATATCACGTATTTCTATCTCCTTTTATCTTCACAGCACCCCTAGGAGGTCTATTCAATTACCATCCACATCTTATAGCCAAGGAAGGTCATGTGACTTGCACAAGGTCACACAATGACAGAACCAGGTCCCAAATGCCCGAGCCCCTGATCTTGATTTATTGCACACTGTGCCAGCCACTAATTGACAGGGTGTGGCCTTGAAGGCAGGATTCCTCTCCTCTTTGGACCTCAGTTTCCTCTGTTGTAAAAATGGAGTGTGGGACTTACGACCCAGCCCTACCAATCAGGCTTTTGCGAGCTGGCACCCCTCCCTGACTTAGTGGCTTCCAAAGGTCCAACTGTGGTTCCAATGTCCAGCCAGGGGTTTAGAAGGTCTCCACCTCCAAAGGTCTGTGAGCCCATGATGAGCAAGTGGTGGGATTTCAGGCAGGAGCGGGCTGGAACATAGCTCCACAGGTGGACAGCTCCGTCTTGCAGGTGCCTCTCACACACATCCAGGCAGGTGAAGAGTCTCAGAGATGCTCAGCTGCAGGCCTTCACATATACCCTCCCACACTCATACAGTGCCCATCACCCTGAGGCCAGGCCTTCCTGTCCATGCCCCCTGGCCGCCCAGTTCCCAGCCTTGATCCAAGCCTCCCCTTGCTACGGTCATGTGCAATAACTCTGCATTATGTGAATGGAGACAGTGTCAAGATAGATTTGCCACGGTCCACGGAACCATTAGGCGGGCCAGTGCTTGAATGTTGGCTCTGGCCAAGGGTTCAAGAGGCCCTGAGGGGGTTGGGTGACAGAGAGCACCTCAGTCCTCACTGTCCCTGTATACCTCCTATGTTCCCGTCTTGCTGAAATGCCTGCACATCCTCCCAGGTGTCTCTCTGACTTCCAGTCCTTTACCCATTCTGTCCATTTCAACTAGTTGACTCCCCCCAGGTAGTCAATTCTTGCTCCTCCTCCAGATTTTAGCTAGGGTGCCACTTCCTCCGGGAAGCTTTCCCTGACTACTGCCCTCCAGGCTGGGGCACTTCCCCCTTCATATAAGGGTCCACTTATTGGACAGTCTTCCTCACCAATCTGAGGGCTCTGAGAGGGCAGGGGCTGCATTTGAACTGCGTTAGCCCTATCACAAGCCTGGTATACAGTCAGCACTCGATATTAAGTTTTGTTGAATTAATCTCTGAATCAGTGAATAAATATGGCTCAGGTTTTCTTTGTAGTGGAGAAGCAAGGAGAGGAGGAGGGGATGGAATCAGACCAACTGGGTTTGAATCTTGACTCCAGCCATGTGACTGATCTGTTCTGTGCCTTGATTTTCCCCATCTGTGAAATGGAGTTAATTGTCACATAGGCACTGCTCAAGGGGTCTGGAGCCTGAAACTTTTGCTCCCACCCTCCCATGTATGTAAGGTTAGTCATGCCCATTCCCTCTTTAACTCTGCTCATTCATTCATTCATTCATTCAGCATTTCCTAAGTGCCTGCTCTGTGCTAGCCACTAGGGATTCAGCAGTGATCCAAATACAGTCCTTGACCTTGTGGGACTCAAGTTTCATGGGGGGACAGATAAGACAACTAGCAGTTATCATCTAGGGTAACAGGAGAGGGAAAAGCCCAGAGCAGCCACCTGCCCCAGCTGGTGGATTGGGGATGGTGGAAACGCTGATCAGTGGCCCTTTGAGAAATGAATAGAAGGTAGCCAAGGGGAGGGGTGAGGGGAAGAGTGGTCCTGGCAGAGAGAATCGCCAACGCAAAGGCCTAGTGTCCCAAGTGAGGGGGATATGAAAGCCCCAAGAGTGGAGATGGTCAGAGTCTGAGCTGGCCTGGGGAGGAAGGTAGGGAGGCAGAGACTGATTTTTGTCCTGGTTGGGGGAGCAGGCCTGCCCCAGCCTCCCTCTCCAGCCCCCACCTGCCTCACCTGCCCTTGTTGCCATTATCTAGGCCAGAGCCTGGAGGGAGCCGAGCCCCCATTGGTGCACACCATGTAGGTTTTTC